GTCTTGTAACTAGACTTGTGCCGGTATTCGGTAATGCGATATATCACGGTAATGATCATGCACGATATTGTTATCGTGGGCTCTTCTAAATACCGTGAATAATTATATATTACAAGTTATTCAGAATTTTGAATGCATTTTAAGAATACTACTGATAAGATGCGCGTTAAATATCGCATGCGATTAATCGTGCAGCCCTAATTTAAATGTTCAGTTATTTTTGTTATAAGAAAAAAGTTATTAAACCTGTTATACTGTATTATGACAGCACTTTTTTAAAACTAAATGTCAATACCGTGATAATACCGTATACCGTAATAAAAGCATTAGCAATTAATCGCAACATGAAAATTTGATACCGGCATATCCCTACTTGTAACTCATCTTAAAGAGAAGATATTTCTTTATGCCTTTCTCGTTACCACACAATTCTTCATGAAAGCTAAAATGAGCCTCATGTGGTACTATCTGATGAACTGTTCTTACCTAAATCATAAAACATTATTCAAAATGCAACCTGAACCTGCAATTTTTTGTAACTTTCTGAAGTTTTAAGTTCAGCCAGTCATTACCATATTCTTATGAATCAACTTTTTTTCCATACTAAACTGCATGTATTTGCACACAGATGCATGCATTCTTCTACACACCCTGGTAAAACAACATAAACAGAGTTGTTTTTAATAAACTAAACCATTTAATATGAAATAAAATGGCTTATCATTTGACTTTTTTCACAGATGTTTGTTTTAAAAGTCACCCCACCAAGGCGAACCAAATTCCACCATGAATGGGGCGTAAAATCAAGAATGAAGGGTCGTAGAGTTCAAAGAGCCCTCAATCAGACACCCCCATCTCGTTTTCTAGCACAGCATGAAATCTCCTGTGTGTCGTAAAACAGTGCTGTGTGTGTCTGGTGTCAGAGGAAACCCCCGTTTGACTATTGCTCATCCATGTTTTAGAGCAGGGATCCTCAAATCTGGCCCACGAGATCCACTTTCCTGCAGACTTCCTAATCAAACACACCCGAGCATGCTAATCAATGTCTTCAGGATCATTAGAAAACCACAGGTAGGTGAGTTTGATCAGGGTTGGAGCTGAACTCTGCAGCGCATTGGTCCTCCAGGGCAAGATTTGAGGAACCCTGTTTTAGAGCCACATGGTTTTAGACCTGAAACATTGAAGACTCTTACCATTTTTATTCGCTTTGGCACTTTTTTCACAAGGAAAATTTACATTTTCACAACTCTTTGTACAAAAGTCCACACAGCTAGTCATTGACCCAGATCTCTAAGGTTTCATTTCAGTTTACGTGTATCCTTTCCACATAACCACTGTTTCACAAGATCATTGTAATATGTAACGAGAACATTTGGGTAGATCCGTTGAAAGGGGGGCTGGTCCGTCGGATATCACTTTGGGCCCCTATAACTATCAAATGCTATTATTACTATGTTATTATTAAACTTCAAAAGGCATTGATTTCATTAAAAAAATATGAGTCAAAACACAGTGCTGTTGCACATTTACAGGCTTGCCGTTTCAGAGCAGTTCGCAATCACTGAATATGTTGTAGATGGTTGTAAAAGTGCATATTTTATCTGTTTCAGTGACCAGCCAGAAAGAGTAAAGCATAGACATTTTAAAATAAGAGTCCTGCAATTTGCATAAATATACTTGACAAAAATCATTAGGATATTAAGTAAAGATCATGTTCCATGAAGATATTTTGTACATTTCCTACTGTAAATATATCAAAACTTAATTTTTGATTAGTAATATGCATTGCTAAGAACTTCATTTGGACAACTTTAAAGGTGATTTTCTCAATATTTTGATTTTTGTGCACCCTCAGATTCCAGATTTTCAAATAGTTGTATCTCAGCCAAATATTGTCCTATCCTAACAAACCATACATCAATGGAAAGCTTATTTATTCCACTTTCAGATGTATAAATCTCAATTTAAAAAAACTGACCCTTATGGCTGGTTTTGTGCTCCAGGGTCACAAATGTCTATAGTTAGTATCGGCACAATAATCTGTTAAACTGTGTGCATGTATATAAAACAAACACAATAAGCAGGACTACAGTTTGAAGCAGCAATGTTTAAAAAGTTTTTGAAATATTTTTATATCATTTATCTTTTTTAGCATTTATATTTTTTAGTGTGCGCCTACATTTTTTCAACTTAAGAGCACGTGAAAAAAGTACAAAATAAATAAATTAAAAAACGTGTACAGTAAGAGAGCTCTGCCTACTTTTCATAAAAGCCACGAGAAAAAATGTGTGCATAACTTACCAGGCGTTGTGTTATCTTCGCCGTTTCGAGCCTCGTCGACTGCGAACAGAAAAGCTCTCGTTTAGCACGAAAAGAACAATTCTTCTTGCAATCTCTTTTTGCAGACCGATGTAGGCTACACTTGTCTAACATATGCATGAACAAATGATACATACCGTTAAGATTGTTAGCCATTTTAGCGCTGGTAATTTACAGGTAGCGGCGGAACGACGCGTCGGTGTTGAGGTGATGGTAACAATGAGTCGCGTTCTCGCAACAAAGGTTTAAATCGCCCGATAACTGTTTGGGCGGTTCATAGTGTCGCGAGAAGTGGGGCGTGTTCCGATTTTTCGTTACGCTCTATTTATATTTTGTCGGGAAAATAATGTTGCCATTTTAATATGACATGTATCTCAAACATGCTTGTTCGCCGCTGTTTGATGCGCACGTGTGTGAAACAATGTATCACTTTAAAAACACACTTCCCATTTCTTTGTTGAAATATGCGTCTTGGATTTGTGTGTGTGTGTGTGTGTGTGTATATATAACATTCTGGAACCACTAACTTGTAAAGTTTAAGGTTTTTGGTTGTCACTGCCTCGTTTGAATGTGAAACTTTTCTTGACCAAATGCTGATTTATCTTCTTTTTAACAAACAAATAAACAGATTAAAAATACATTGGCTGCATTTAGCCTCCAATTTTCCCCCACGCCTTCTTTCACATAGTTTAACATCGTTTTTGAGCAATTTCACAACAAAGGGCTGACATTAAAGGGTTAGTTCACCCAAAAATGAAAATTCTGTCATTAATTACTCACCCTCGTGTTGTTCGAAACCCGCAAGACCTTCGTTCATCTTCGGAACACAATTTAAGATATTTTTGATGGAATCTGAGGGCTCTCCCTCCCACCACACGCTTGCGTCATGAACGCTTGTCCAAAGTGACGCAGTAGAGACGAAAATGTGGAATAAAGTCGTTATTTTTGTTATCTCTGCGCAAAAAAGTATTCTCGTAGCTTCGTAACTTTACAGTTGAACCGCTGATGTCACACGGACTACTTTGTCGATCATCTTGGTACTTTTCTGGACCTTGAACGTGGTAGTTACCTTGCTGTCTATGGGAGGGTCAGAGAGCCCTCAGATTTTATCAAAAATATCTTAAATTGTGTTCCGAAGATGAATGAAGGTCTTACGGGTTTCGAACAACACGAGGGTGAGTAATTAATGACAGCATTTTCATTTTTGGGTGAACTAGCCCTTTAATCGCCACCCGAAATGTCCCAAATATTTCACATCTAACCTATGCCCTTTTCAAAGAAAGTGAGTCTCTCTCTCTCTCACTCTACGCGGTTCGATTTGTGAAAAATGTGTGTGAAAATGTTTGTGGTATTAAGTGTTTATGAGTACAAGACAACATATCAGTTTTAAAAACTGAGAGAAATGTTACAGGAAATACAAATACTATTTTAATATATTTGTTCTTCAAGTAAACAGAAACAAACAAGAAGAGTTATAACAATCTACAGAGAAAATGCAACAGTAAAATATGTTGAATATGCAGTCTGCATTGGAATTAGATTATGAAGCATTTCCCTGTTGAAAAAAACAGCATATGCTGGTTAGGTATGTTTTGACGCTGGGATGCTGGTTTATGCTAACGCAAAAAGACTAATGCAGACTATTTACATTTCCCATTCACACACTAAAAACGAGAAAATGAGTAAAAAGTTCAGCTGATATGATCATGAGAACTGTGTATCATACAGCAAGAGTTTTGCATAGTGGTCATGTGGAGATCAATCTGGGCTTTTCACACTTACATTTTAGGGTTGAACGTGAACCTCTTTTCAAATTACAAGCATTAAATCCCGCTTAACCCTCAATCCTACAATTATTTTTCTAACGAGCTGGAGTCTCTGTGACTCGAAGCATAAACGTAGGTACAGTACAGTAAATGTAAACAGTGCTACAGATGTTACCCGGGGCACGCGCAGTGTGAAAAGCCCATATTCTGTCCCATATGAAACTGCGTGTGTGGTCAGACTAGAGCGAGTAAAGTTTGAGCTGTTCCTCCACGTCCCCCCGAGTCATCTCTCCAAACGTGTCCTGATTCTCTCGGAGCAGTTTGAAGATGGCAGCCAGCTGCTCCTGCTGTACCCTACAACACAAACACAACAGCATAAAGGGAGAAAAAATAAAAGAAAAAGAAAATCGCACACACTCAGTCAGCTGTCTGGAGTCTTGATCATTCACAAAGGCATTTCAGTTCAGTTCCAAAAGATCTTAAAGGGATAGTTCACCAAAAAAAGAAAAAAGAAAATTGTCATCATCTACTCACCCTCAATTTGTTCCAAATCTGTATAACTTTTTTACGCACACAAAAAGAAAGATATTTTGAAGAATGTTGCTAACCAAACAGTTGCTGGTAGCCATTGACTTCCATAGTATGAAATAAAAAATTCTATGGAAGTCGATGGCTACCAGCAACAGTTTAGTTACCAACATTCTTCAAAATATCTTCTTTTGTGTTCAACAGACGAAAGACACTCATACTGGTTTTTGAACAATATGAGGTTGAGTAAACGATGACAAAATTTCATTTTTTGGGTGAACTATGCCTTTAATTGAAGGAAATTCCATTGAAAATTATATTTCTGTTCGCGGTTTCTTTGTGTTAAGTACTGTGTATCATAGGAAATAATGCCACAAGAGACATTCATCAAATTTGTCTCTTTATTGATATTACAAGAGCCATTAGGGTGAATCTCACGAAACCCTATCAGTCACATTTCACTGCAAAATCAAAATGATATTCTCTTTAAAATAATGCAGAAAAAAAAAAGCATGCATTCACACGTGGTAGCATTTGTTGCATCACCAATAATTACGTTTACCACAATATTTATGACAGTAAAATATTACTTTTTCAGAACGCAAGAAAAAATCATAATGGTTCTAAAAATAGGCTTTATTTTTCTTTATGCAAATTATAACTTTACATTCTCTTCCGATTATGGCATGAAATGTCACTCATAAAATGTTTGATGAGATTCACCTATTTTTTTTTTTTTAACATAGCATCCAAAAACAACAACAAAACCCACATGGTTTCTACATTTCATCATAAACATGTCTGACTCTGCAGTGCAAGCACTTTCCCATTAGCCTGTGATGGTCACAGCTGTGTGTGTCCTCAAGGGGGCGCGATGGTATTTCAGAAGAGCAGGACAGGCAGACTATGAGACTGAATGCTGATTGGCTGACTAAAGAACACATGATGCTCAACAAAGGCACAAGATTATTTCATGTCATATATATATATAAAAAAAAATCCAATTTAAGAAAACAGAATCACTGGTTCACCATTATCCCTCCCTTTCTTTACAAAAGAGTTTCCAAATCGTAAACTAAATGAACTTAATGTAAACTGTAACCTCACAGTGATCATTAAATCGAGCTCAGTGTTAGATTAAATACATCATTACTGTTTTAATAGACACGTCATAGTCTATGGGCCATAGTTGTATCTAGCTGTACCTAAGTGTAAATATATATATATAATCTTATGTTCTTTGGCGTTTTGCTTTAAGAAGGTATTCACAGGCAGAAAACAAAGGGGGAAAAAGACTAAAAGCACAATGGTAAGTTTCCATTTCTACACATTTCAGAGACAGTCAAACAGAGAAGTCACTCAAAGGTCCTCATGGTTCATTATAGGGAGCACATGCTTCGACTTCTGCTTACTCAGCATCTCTGAAAAATAGAAACAAAAGGATATTCATTATCATAAAGCCAGAGCCTCAAGCAACTCGCATGAAGTTCTCCAGGAACACACAGTCCATCCACATACAAGCACATACGCATGAGTTCACACAAGCACAACACCAGAGAAACATGTGCCCTACACAGAATCAATCAGCCAAGTTAACAGATTAGCAACTCTATTTTTAAGGCAAGACACTGCAGGTAAATAAAATAAACATTTGAACTGATAGATAATCACCAGACTTTCCAAGTTGATTATTCACACTACATAAGACAATTGTTTTTCAGAATATAGACGGGACTAAAACTGTAAAGTCTGGTTTAAAGCAGCACTATGTCTGTGTTCAAAATTTGCAAAATGTATATAATGAGCGAGTACATCATGAATTATCTTCCAAACCGCGTTTTTATCTTATTCCGAATCACTACGGTACACTTATAATAAGTACTATATTTGGACTATTGTAGGCTGGTCGGGTCGTCACCGCTGCGGAGTTTCGGTAGCTCTCATCTCCCTTTATATCGTCAAAGGTCAAATTTGAATAATATCATCTGTTATTCGTTTAAGGTCCAGTAAATCTCTTCTAAATGTATCTTTCACTGGGGGCAAAAGTGGCATGAAAAGTCAAAAGTAATGATTGTGATTATAGCCTGACCGATATGGGTTTTTTTGGGGCCGATACCGATACCGATATTAGGGAGTAAAAAAAGGTTTCTGGTTTCATCCAGGTCACCAGTAGCAAACAATGGAGCGCGCTCAGCTGGACAAACTAAGTGATTACACCATTTCAAGCATTTTATCTGCGTTATATGTTCTGTAAAAAAAAAATTTCATATCGGCGGCATATTCACCAATACCGATATATCGCGACAGGCTCATATCGGCCGATAATATCGGCAAAACGATATATCGGTCGGGCTCTAATTGTGATTTCTGCAAAACTGCTGCAATTCCTCTGTTGACATTTCTATTCAAATTCCAGTTCAGCCTTCTGTGTGGTGTGAGTCCAATTCAACTCAGATTTACTCTCATTATCTGAAAGGGGATTGATTCTTTAAATATGAATTTTGCCTCACCCTGATATGTACGATTCGCTGCATTCATGCACAGCACCATTGTACACATTTTTCATATTAGATGGAAGTAAATGCAACGTAGTGCAAAAAAAATATTTGGACACCTGAGCCACATCTACAAGTGTCTGAAAGCCATTGCGTCTTGCATCATCTTGATAAAATACCAAAACATTCACTCAAATGCCACAGGAGCTTTCCTTTTCACTAACTTCACTTTTCTCAACATGGTCCACTAACGTTTCACAACTATAAAGTGTCACAATACTTATGAACAGACACTTGCACTAATATTGACATTCAGACATTTCTAAGTGTGCAGGCTTTAGTGTCCAAACGCATGATTACGAACACACTCCTTTCATATAGTTATATACAATAAAAGCTATACTTTGTTTGCTTTTAATATTATTTTGCTTAACATTCAGTGTTCTCCATTGAAAGTCTTCCGACTAGCTATTAATACTACTCTATATAATCAACCCATAATGCACATAATATATATATATACACCTTCATCTGTTCAGTGACCAATATTTGTGAGCTTTTTCCTGGTTTTCTTTCTGTAATGTGTCATAATACTGAATCCCTAAGACACAATGAAACAGCTGGATCACAGTGTTAATGGGGTAGTTCACCCAAAAATGATCATTCTGTCATTATTTTCTCACTCTCATGTCACATATTACTGTCTTTCATTCGTGGAACACAAAAAGCGATGTTTGGTAGAATGTCCGAACGTCTCTTTTCCGCATAAGACATGTGGATAGTCATTTATACAGCTCCAAGCGCCAAAAGGACAATTAATTGATTAGTTGTGACTTTACGAATAAATAAAATATATAAAAAGTGACTTTACAAATAAACAAACAAGCATAAAATTATGAATTTACAAATAAATGTAATATATAAATAAATTGTGACTTTACAAATAAACAAATGAAGTATATAAATAAATTGTGGCTTTACAAGGAAATAAATAAATAAAAAATTGTGACTTTACAAATAAATAAATAAAATAAATAAATAAAGACTTTTCAAACAAATAAATTGTGACTTTACAAATAAACAAATGAAGTATATAAATAAATTGTGGCTTTACAAGTAAATAAATAAATAAAAAATTGTGACTTTACAAATAAATAAATAAATAAATACAATTGTGACTTTTCAAACAAATAAATTGTGACTTTACAAATAAACAAATGAAGTATATAAATAAATTGTGGCTTTACAAGTAAATAAATAAATAAAAAATTGTGACTTTACAAATAAATAAATAAATAAATACAATTGTGACTTTTCAAACAAATAAATTGTGACTTTACAAATAAATAAATGAAGTATATAAATAAATTGTGGCTTTACAAGTAAATAAATAAATATAAAACTGTGACTTTACAAATAAATAAATACAATTGTGACTTTTCAAACAAATAAATTGTGACTTTATAAATAAATAAATAAATAAATAAAGACTTTACAACTAAATAAACAGTCGCATTATAAATAAAATACATAGTGACTTTACATAAATAATGAATGAATGAAAGAAAGGAATGAATGAAAACATTTCTAAATTGTGGCTTTACAAGTAAATAAATATTGATTTTACAAACAAGCAAGCAAACAAACAAACAAATTAAGACTATAAAAATAAACAGTGAATCTACAAACAAACAAAAATGAATTCAAACAGGTTTGAAACAACATGGCTAGCACATGACAGAATTTATTTCTGGGTGAATTGTTACTGTAACTGAACATGTGAGGGCATGAACTGTCACTGAATAAGAAAAGTGAGTGGAAGGGAAGATATTCATGTTACATGGTGACGGGGGAGGCTGCAGGGTGAGACTGTGGAGGGTGTCAGGGTCAAACTGAAGTAAATGATACCTTACCAGTGGCCTGACACAGGCATACTGCCTGGTGTTGTTTAAAGAGCTGTAAAGTCATTTGTGAACTCTATCCTGCAAAGATAAAGGGCAGGAGCAGAGGACATTATGTACAGACCATTACTGTAGGGTTCTGACTCTGAGTCAGCCTGCTAATCTACAGCTACACACACACACACACACACACACACACACACACAGTGACTTCTGCGAATGGGGACTGCAGAAATAATCTCAAATCACTGACTGAATTTACATGCACAATTGTGATAAAGCAGACAATGGTTTGGTTCTGGTTGAGAATCCACCTGTGGTGCCCTTAAATTCTACTTACATAAGCAGCAGTAGTTATGAATCTGAGCATTATTTCGTTTTTCATGTAAATGCCATTTTTAACATCAAGAATGGAATAAAACTTGCTTCAAAATGAAATTTGCTGTCAGGTATGTATAAATGAAGTTGTTCAGAAGTCTCTTATGTTTACCAAGGTTGCATTAATTTAATCAAAAATACAGTAAAAACAGGAATGCTGTGAAATACTACTACAATTTAAAATAGCTATTTTTTTATTGTAATATATTTTACAATGCAATGTATTCCTGTGATGCGCAGCTGTATTTTCAGCATCATTACTCCAGTCTTCAGTGTCACATGATCTTCAAAAATCAGTCTAATATGCTTGAATTATTATTAATGTTGGAAACAGTTTTTGCTGCTTAATATATGCATCAAATTGAAACGATTTATAATAAAAGACTTATTGTTAGAAAAGATTTATATTTTAAATAAATGCTGTTCTTTTTAACTTTTTATTCATTAAAGAATCCTGAAAAAAAGCTATCACAAGTTCCAAAAAAATATAAAGCAGCACAGTTTCCAATATTGATAATAAATCAGCATATTAGAGTGATTTCTGAAGATCATGCGACACTGAAGACTGGAGTAATGATGCTGAAAATACAGCTTTGCATCACAGGAATAAATTACATTTTAAAGTAGAAAACTGTTATTTTAAATTGTAATAATATTGACTATTTATTAAATAATATTGAATATTTGTTTAATCATTATTCCAGTTGTTGTTCTGTATTTTTGATCAAATACATGCAGGCTTGGTGAGCAGACGAGACTTAAAAAAAAAAAAAACATTAAAAATCTTACTGATCCCAAACTTTTGAATAGCAGTGTAGTCGCAAAGTTACGTATACACAACGTTTACACAACAGCGATGTACTAAAAACGTTTTGTGTAATGTTGTCAAACCGATCACCGTTCACACGGATCCATGAAATAGACAAAAAAAACTCTGTATTATGCATGCCAGACCAATAGATGGTGATGTCGCTTTGTGAAAATAAACCACTATGTGCCTGTGCACATACAGACTAAACACACAACACGCATGCACATGACGTCACAGTTTTCACAAATTCACGTGTTTGCAGTTTACAAGCAGCTTTCAAAAAGTTGCGCTCTAAAACCTGTTTTCAAAAGTTTGAAAATTTTAAACTCTCAAAATGCTGTTGTCGTGTAAATAAATGGCCAAAACGCATGATAAGTTTTTCGTTTTTCAGTTGAAAATGGTGTCATGTAAACACCCCATAGTTAGTCGAATGTCTAAAGTGGACTATCCAAATAAAGTGTAGCCTAAGTTTTATTTTTATTTCAGATCCCCCACCGCTCAGTCTATATGTTTTATCAAGCAAACTAACTGCACCCACCCTGGGGCAGAGTGTGCCTGAACCTCCAGACAAACCTTGAGCCCCCGCGAGCGCCCCTGACAGTCTGCTGCAGATATGTGCGCTGCTGTGAACATCTCACCCTCCTTATCCAAACACCCACAGTGAGTGCTGCGGTGGGGGGAGGTGGGCCCTGTGCTACTCGCTACCATTGGCCCAAAGTTACAAGGAGCAACAACAAAAACTTTCCTCACAACAGACCTACTGGACATGCCCCAAACTACAACATACAGCACAGGCTTTCATGCAACTAAACAATTCACCATTAGAAATATAATCGAACCATAAAAACACACTTCATTCGGTTATTTATTTAATTTGATTGGTTATTTAATTGACCCAAAAAGTCAAGTCTGGATTGTTAACTTTACTTTAAGTTAAAAAAATAAAATAGAACACGCAAGTAATAATAATAATAATAATTTTCTGTTCTTTGTAAATATACATTTTCAACTTTATTCATTGTCTCTGAAACTCAGCTGATGAAATCTTAAACATGTCCTATTATATATATATATATATATATATGTGACTAGACAAAATACGCTGTATGTTTGGCACATATTCACTAATTGGAGGATATTTAAGACGTTTGCACTGTAGGGTCACTAAAAAGCATCATTCTGTATACTTCAGAGGGGAGGCTTCACATACTGCACATACACACTTCACATGCTTGAAATGCTGTTCGATTCAAGCATTTCTAGATATATATGAAATGCAAAACAGTGAAATGTTGATTATGTTATTAGGAGAAGCTGTTGCTTCAGTGGATGGACTGAGGGAGAAGCAAAATACTGACCTCTGCTCCTCTTCCATCTCCTCCGTGGTCATTCTCTTCTCAAACTTGGTGGTCCTCTTATTACCGGGCAGGACTGCAGAGGTCTCGACCTCATCCGTCACTAAAGCAGCTGCAACATCTGAAAGAGACGATATCAGATTTAACATTTACCTGACAATAGATGACTAAGAGGACTTTTACATTGATATAAAAATATTTCAGTTTCACTTTTTTTTTTTTTTTACGTTTCTTGTTCAAAGAATCCTGAAAAAATGCATCAAAGTTTACACAAAAATAGCAGCATAACGGTTTTCAACAAAATTTTCTTGAGCAGCAAATCAGCATATCAGAATGATTTCTGAAGATCATGTGACACTGAAGACTGGAGTAATGATGCTGAAAATACAGCTGCGCATCACAGCAATAAATTACATTTTAACACATATTCACACATATATATATATATATATATACACACATACACACAATAGTCAACATTTGAAGTGGATCAAAAAAGTTCATCAAAGTTGTCCTAAGACAAGAACGTGTATTGTTTTGGTTTTAGGACAACTTCAAATGTGTCAAGAATTTGATACTGTATATAAACTAAGCAGATTTGTGTTTACCTTATATAAATAAGAGGTTGCATTAACTTATTTCTGCTAATCTCCACATTTTTAATGACAAAATGCGAGGAAACCATTTCAACTATAGCGCGTCTGTTTTCCTAGTTTAAAGAGGAGAATTAAATAATGAAATAAGAAATAGGATATTATTAAATATGGATTTATTCCTATTATTCCAAGCATATGACATTTTATTTAGAGCAGACAATCATGCGACTGGTCACGTGAGCAGTGCTTTCCCGAGTTCGCAGGATCACAGAACTCGCTTCTTCACGGTGCATAAATTGCCATCCGAATCCATGAGTTTCATCACTGAGGTGCCATGTAAATCTTTTCTTTTTTTACAGACGTCCACATGAGAAACAATTACTGTCAGAATAGGGGCTTTTGTCCCCATAATGGTGTAGTTATATCATCTATCTGCAGAGGCTAACTGCTAAAAGTAAACAGCAGTTTGAATAAACTCGCCTCTGAACAGCCTGTAAAACTGTCGCTGGTCGCTTTAAACGTCAGCCAAATACCTCTGTCTCCTGTCTAAGTGAGCTACAAAGAGGACCACACTTGATCTGGATACAAAGAGCAGGTGTTGATCAGTATGAAAGTGTCTGTATTGTCATTACGGATCAGACAACAAGACAGGAAGGGCAGAAAATCTTCTGTGACACTACGCCCTGTTCCTAACCCAGATTATCATCCTACCAGGTCTAACCCACTTGCAGGCCTGTCAAGTCATTGGCACAGGCAGCTAGGAAGTCTTTATAGTAATTCGAGGATAAAAGCTGTTCTGCACATACGGTTGGCGGCTGAAGCCTGTTTCACACGCCTCACATCTGTGGTATGTGCTGCTGAAACTAGCTCCGTTGATGTTGTAATTCATTAACTGACATGTTTTTGCCCAAGAAACACTGGTCTTTTGCAAACAAGGGTTATATCGGAGCACAACGACTGATGTCTGGATGTAAACGCAGAAAAATCTGTAACCTAGAGGCCAATATACTGCTGGGAGAACAAAGGAGTGTGTGACCGGGACCCAGTTACACACTGGCGTCAGTTTACAACCGCAGAGCACAAAGCTCCAGTGTGTTTGAGTGGGTCGAACTATGAGTGTTTATCTCACAGCCTTGCTCTCAAAACACTCGCTCAGAAAGCCACAGGCAGATATGACAAGAAAAATGAAAGACTGGAGATCTGAACAAACTACCTCAATGCATGAGAGAGAAGTGGAAATATAAATGCTTTACTCTCCAGAATGTCAAATTACAATGTATTTTAGTTTATTTTATATATTTTTTTATTGTATTACGTTTTTATTTTTTTCTCTTTTTTATTTTATTTATTTATTTATTTATCTCTGAAACCCAGCAATAACATAACAAACGTAACAACATAATCAAATGTCTATTAATATTAATGATCTATATACATACAACAGCTCATTCTGGTTCTCAAATCTGATTGGTTGAGAACCGAGAGATATTGTACTTGTATCGACACAGGAATGCCCTTTCACCGTTTGTATCACTCCGCTTCCAGTATTTCTCACAGCGAGTGTCATGGCGGATGCCCAAATCCACTAAAATGAAAAAATAATACTGTTTTTGTGTCACGGAATGTAGTTTTAAGAGGTTTTTTAGGCGAGAATGTACTTGTTTAGACTTCAAATATACGGTTTGTTAATAAAGTCTATTTGAAAATTTGCTTCACGTTTTCAGAGATGTGAGCTCCAGGGCATCAGCGCCGTTCAGCGCTCATGAACCCAACGAGAGCAGCCTCACCTCGGCTAGATCTTCTGGAATTTGCTGCTGGCTCTGATGTTTCTATAGTGGTTAAACATGAGATATAATTAGTTTTGGGTAAATCTGACGGGTAGTCTTTAGTTTCATTAATCGATTATTTGTTCCAGTTTCGGCTGAAGGCAAAATCTCATCACGTTATATTTTATGTAACTTTAATGCTATATATTAGAGCATGGCTTTTATGATGGCTGTTGATGTTGTTTATTATTCAATAAATAACATTTTATATACATAGTAGTGTTTAGTATTAGGAAACAGTGTGTGTGTTCGTGATGGTGATTTTTGTGACATTGTTCCGCCATTAGATGGCAACGAGACTGTTTTACGAGTCAGCATTTAAGACTTTTATATTGAAAGAGACTGAAACGGAAGTAATTTTTACTTTTAATAACAGCTTGTAAGACGCAGTTAACAAATGCAGTGAGCAGCGCTGTCATCGGAAATCACCCTTAACAGCTGAAAGATAGTACGACAAAGATGTCACTTTCCTCAGCGGACATTCAAACTAATGTTTTATTGTGAATATGAGATTGAGTTGAACAATGAATGCTGTATCAGATGCATGTAATCACACTCGCTCAGTCCATCTCTTTCTCACAATACTCTACTCTACATAATACAGTGAGCTTTTAATTAAGTAATACAATAAGTTTTTAATGTAGTAACTCAACGTTCCTTCGTTACTAGTTCTAAAGTGACGTTTTCGAATTAGTAATGGAGGCTTCAGCTCAGCTGTTAAACTGTCAAACTGAGATTTAAATATGTGGCAGAAGGAAGTAGTTCCGCACAAAAGGGTTTTTAGAGACACTCCGTTGTTGTTTTTCTTATATATTTACACTCGTGCTGTCAAACTGTCGTAATCGAGTGATACCGGCTCTAAATCAGCGGCTGTGATTGCCTGCGGCCTCGTGCCTCTGGACTAATCACAGCAATGCTGATATAGAGCCGGTATTGCCCTCGTACTCGAGTGATATTGCTCATATATATATTTGGTTTTAATTAACTATATTAACCCTGGAACCAAGTGAGCTGGAGGAAATGTAAAAAAAAAAATCATCAAATAAATGAAGTGTCAGCAGCATTCGATAATACTTCAAGTGTCCTTGTTGTAATTACACATTTATGTGCTAAGCAATATAAATTAACAGCACATACTTACTGTACAGTAGGTTTAGGATTAGAGCTTGGCTTACTATTACTAATTACTGGTTTAGTAATTTACTATTACTACTATAGCAAGTACATTTAACATGTGTAACAAGGACACTGTAAATCAAAGTGTTAGCATTCTTCACAGGTTCACTTGCACCTACAATGGCAGGATTGTACCCAAAAAGAGTACAAAAACTACACACTGTGTAGCGCTGATGCATCCATACCAGTATTCTCTAGGACTTCTGGAAGGGATTCAGCTGCTGGTGAGGTCTCAGGGACGGGCACAGGCGCTGCTTCGGGGGTTGGTACAGAAACTGGTTCTGGGGTGGGCACAGATGTTGTTTCTGGGGTGGGCACTGATACTGGTTCTGGGGTGGGTTCAGACGTTGTTTCTGGGGTGGGCACCGATACTGGTTCATGGATAGGCACCTCTGGGACTAGTTCAGGCACTGGTTCTGGGACAGGCTTATTCACTGGTTCAGGCACTGGCTCTTCTACTGGTGTAGCCACTGGTTCTGGTGACGAGTTGGGTACTTGCTCAGGCACTGGCTCTGGCACAGGAACGGGCTCTTCCACAGGTGCAGATGGTACGACTTCTTCAGGTACGGGCTTGGGCTCAGGCTCTGGAGCTGCCTGCATAGATCAGAGGTAGAGAGAAAGAATAACAGTCATTTTAGCTCATTCAGATGCAGCTGATAATACTGTAAATAAGGTGTGATGAATTCAGGTTAATAGGGACATTTGAGTTGGCTTGGGGGAAAAAAATCTTGAATTAATCCAATGTTTATTACTTTATTGCAGTCAAATTAAGTTATTTTTTCTGACAAGATAATGCTTAGATTTATGTACAAAAACGTATGTTTATCACGTGGGACATTAGAAGTAATATTTAAAAAAATATATGACAACAAACAAAACAAAACCTAGAACAAAACACAGAACAAAAGAAAACTCAAACCCAGAACAAAACCAACAACCCAAAACAAAACCCAGGACACAACACAGAACAAAACAAAACAAAACGAAACAAAACAAAACACAAAACAAACCAAGGCCCAGAACAAAACCTAAAACAAAACTTAGAACAAAACAAAAGAACAAAACCAACCAAGCCCCCAAAACAACCACACCAAACAAAACTCAAAAGAACCACCCCCCACAAATGCACCAAAAGCAAAAGAAGCCAAACTAAAAACAGTACTCATATGGCACTTTTCCACTGCATGGTACGGCACGGTACGGCTCGGTACGGTTCACTTTTGGGGGGTTTTCCACTGGGTACAGTACCTGGTTCCTGGTTCTTTTTTTTGTACCACTTCGGTTGGGGTTCCAAGTGAACCGTACCATTACCAAAACGTGACATGTAAACTCTGCTGATCACGGATTGGCCGGAGAGAATCGTCACTACCTGCGTCACTGAACTTGCGACACAAACAGTCGGTTACGGAAGTACAGACGTTCCTCTCGTTGATAGCAGAGGAGCGGATCCAGCGAGAGCTTGATGGGGCGATGCGGAATTAAAAAGTTTTTTTTAGGAGTCGTGGTAGTAGAGGCGGCGCAACTATAACGACATGTGAATAATCCCGCCCACTCTAAAGCGGTACTGAACTGCAGTGGAAACGCAAACCGTGCCGAGTCGAACCGTGCCATGCCGTACTGAGCCGTGCCAAGCCGAGTCGTACCATGCAGTGGAAAAGCACCAATAGATTGTATACAGAACACTTTACAACTTGGGAGCTACTAAATTGAAACATTCATCTCAGTAGTTAACAGCACATTCTGCAGAGCTTAATTCCACATGTGGCTGGTGTAGAGTGCCTGCATGACAGCTGTCATCTGCAGTCTGTCGTCCTTCCTCTCCTGCCTTAACACACACACACTTGTCCATGACAAGGGGACAAAGCTCCTACTTCTTCTGACTAACCCTCGTCCAAACCCACTTCACTGCTTCTACCGGCCATGAAAGCTCTTAACTCAATCGCTTACATACACTCCCAGAAGCCTGTGAGAAACAGGTGTGCAAGCCTTCCAACCACCAAGTGACTGCAGCCTCAGCACTTTTTAGGGGATAAAAAAAATATCAGCAGAATAGATTTGAATTTGCAGCTAATACTATCATACTCTGTGACATGGCCTCTATCGTACTGCAGCTCCACCTTACATCATACAAGAGCAAAGTGGAGACTGGATTGAATTGGAGTCTGCAGGGATTAAGGTTATCCAGAGAGGTTAAATTTAGGATTAACTGTAGATTTGTGCCATTATTAGATTAGGTGACACAGAATGTCAACAACAAGCGGGTGAAAGAGAATGACAATTAGAATGACAGCAATACTAACAGAAAACCACAATTTCTCTGAGTGGTTATAAGATCATTGCTATGCAGTTTCTAAGACTCTGATAGATATGGCTCGGGTCCCTCCAGAGATTGTGCATTTTATTATCCACTGGATGAAAACAATGTATGGCTAAACACGACAAGACAGCTGCTACCAGAATAGCAACCCTCTGAAACCAAACTTTATCGCTTCAAGAATGTTGGCGTCTGCTGACCACCAGCAGATGGTGCATTCCATCTCACACAACTGCACAAATTTATTTCTGATGAGTGTGAAGTAACCCTCAAATCCCACTGACAAACTGCTGAAATAATCTGCTACTGGATTTGAGTTGAGAAATGAGTCAAACGCACCAAGTACAGCAGAATCAAATGCAAAAAGGCCATTAATTAAACTTCATCAGTGAAACTTAAATACTCACATTTTTAGTTGCTTTCACATGGTGAGACACTAAAATAATAAACCATTAAAATTATAATTTTTTCCCCAAAAGCTAACGGTTGTTAGGTACCATGGCAAGACACTTAATAATATTAAAGGGGTGGTTGATTGCGATTTCACTTTTTTAACGTTAGTTAGTGTGTAACGTTGCTGTTTGAGCATAAACAATATCTGCAAAGTTACGAAGCTGAAAGTTCAATGCAAACGGAGATATCATCTTTTAAAATTATGGCACTTTAATGCCTACAAAAACGGCTGGTAAGGGACTACACCGAGTTACTTCCCGGGTTCATGATGTAACAAACCCAGATAAACCCCGCCCTCGGGAAAAGGAAGCAAAGGGAGCGAGGCCATGCTGCGCTGCTTTAGAGAAGAGGAAGAGAAAACTAGAGGTGCACGGGGCGGGACGCTTAGACGCGCACTAGAGGCGTTTTAGCCAATCACAACACACTGGGCTAGCTAACCAATCAGAGCCCATCGCCTATTTCTGAGGGAGGGGCTTCATAAAAGAAGGAAATGATCAGCGTGTTTCTCAGAGAAGGGACAGAGCAGTGTGGAATAAAGGTATATTATGTTAAAAAAAATTAATTTGTTTTTTTTAAACGAAGCATTAACACATGTTAGACTGCACCCCATAAACACAATCAAGCCTAGAAAAAAAAAACAGTGAACCACACCAATAAAAAGTCTTCCACCATATTAAATTGTTCATTAGACTAACAGTACACTGTTTATGGTTGACAAGCAATGTAGAAACTTGGCATATTAAAAGGAACATTCCAGGTTCAAGTTAAGCTCTAGCGTCAGCATTAAAGACATGCTGTTGATTACCACAGAAAACAAGTTTAACTCAGACTTCAGATTCAACAAACAATCAGAATGAGCTTTCCACAGGATTTTGGAGTGTTACTGTGGGAATTTTTGGCCATTCATCCAGTTTATAGAGCATTTGTTAGGTCAGAGACTGATGTTGGACCAGAACGCCTAGCTCGCAATCTACGTTTCTAGTTCATCCCAAAGGTGTTTGATGGGGTTGAGGTCAGGGCACTGTACGGGCCAGTTGAGTTCTTCCACACCAAACTCATCCAACCATGTCTTTATGAATGATGAATTGTTCAAAATGTCAAAATGTCTATGCTGAAGTATTAAGGTTTCCCTTCTCTGGAAGTAAAGGGCCTAGCCTAAATCCTGAAAAACAGCCCCATACCATTATCCCTCCTCCACTAATCTTTACAGTAGACACAATGCAGTCAGACAGGTAATGATCTCCTGGCATCCACCAAACCAGACTCACCCATCAGACTGCCAAACATAGAGGTGTGATTCGTGACTCTGTAGGTTTCCACTGCTCCAGAGTTCAATGGCGGTGTGCTTTTCACCACTCCATCTGACGCTTGGCATTGTACTGGTGATATGAGGCTTACAAGCAGCTTACCATTCTATGAAGCTCGCACAGTTTTTGTGCCGATATTAATGCCAGTATAAGTTTGGAATTCTTCAGTTATGGAATCTGCAAAACGTTGGTGACTTTTATGCACCATGTTGCTGCTGCCTGAAACGCTTCCACTTTGCAATAATACCACTCACACCTGAAACACCTGAATTCAGTAATTAAGAAGTGTGTCCCAATACTTTTGTCCATATAATGTATACTGTAATACACAATTTTTAACTTTTACAAATGGCAGGACTTTTTTTTTTTTTTTTTTTTTTTTTTTTTAATTAGATCACAACAAAAATTCTGAGATAGCACAGAATTCTAATTGATGTGAGGTCACAAGTGTGCCGTTTTACAACACATTTAGAGCTAAAAGTATTCATTTTACAATATGATATCAACATCTCAGTGTTTTTTATTCCAAAAAAAGTCACCTAATGTCCAGCAGCACTCTGTCCCGAGACATAAACTCAAAGGCGCTGAGGGAATTAGGGCAGCTTGAGACGGATTCCTCCTCGCGGTGATGCCAACAGTTCATTAGCCCCTGATGCTCTTAGAAAGCGTGAACAACCTGCGAGGATGTCAGATGGCATTCGATGCCATCTCAGGCTTAACTGTCATCTCAGATCCTCTCTCAGTGGATGATGGCAAATCTATATTTGATGTCACCACATACGGAGGTCAGCGTGAGAACATGTGATGCCACGTCTGACAGATCGCCTAAGACAAACAGATCCTGGGAGGATTTACAGAGGCTTTTTGCTTTTACTTGTCCCTGGAGTCACTTATATATAATAAACTGTCAAAAACATATTAAAACGAATAGTCCTGACTGACACAGCAACATTAATGGAACCTTATTTGATTTGATGTGCAAGATTTTGACGATATTCTTCAAAAATAAATAATCTTTTCCCCTTCAAATGTCAATGTAAAGACCTCATTTACATGTTCTTCACTTCCTAATTTCCATATTTCCAGCAAGAAAATAATAAAGATTTACTTTAATCATTTTGAATGGTTTAACATCTTATTTGAGGCAGTGGGCCAAAGCATCTCGACTGGAATAAGCTCTCATTGTTTCATTCATTCATGGAAAGCATTTGCACTGAATGAAATCTCCACAAACCCCTTAGCTCTGCTTTGAATTCGCACAAAAAGGCCATTGTATCATAAGGCCATAGTCATCATGTATAGTCAGTGTCTGCCTACTAGCATAACTAGCATACTATACTGCGTCATTGTTTAGTTAAGAGACATCACCACTTGTGACTGAAAGGGCAAGACAGGGATTGTGGATGTGTTCCAAAACCTAGTGAGCTTCCTTAAATGGGTCATAGGATGCTACATGCACTTTTACAAGTTGTTTGAACTGAAATGTGTGTTGGCAGTGTGTGTACACAACCACCCTATAA